TTATTTACAATAGTATTTTGATAAATTCCTTTAAACTCTCTCGGAAAGATCATCAACTATAATAAATTAATGATTTCTCTCTATTTTTTTTCTAAATCATATTATATAGAATTTAATTTAATATATTATTTCCTCCCATTTAGAGCCGCTTTGGCATGAATCTAAACGCAGTTGTATTAAAGGTTGTACCGGTAAGATAAATGTATAATAATTTTATTTTACTATAAATAATTATAATACGCTTATTTCTAGTAATAATAATGTATATTAATACATATAGTAATAATTATTGTTATTTATATACTTTCTGATAAGATATCAATACTTAGATACATTACCTAAAAATAGATTGTTGACTATTTTAATATAATACTTTTTTAATTTCTTGGAAGTCATACAAATAATATTAACCTCTGTTTTGCATATACCGAACTCCATCAACCAGTCGTGGTGACTCAATTCTTGTTCAACCCTCCTCTCACTCGCATTCACACTCGCTCCTTCTCTTTCTCACTCTTATTTCATTCTCCGGTCGCTATTTAACTTTCAATTACTTTTTTTATTCCTTCTGTAACATAAACTGCATCTCAAAATACGTATCATTATTGATAATAATCACGACAAAATGATGATATTAATTAAAATATTATAAAATTATCTTACGTTGGTAGATGCAATATCAGGATTATATTTCTTAGATTCGCAATAACGTAAATTATAAAATTTATGTATTTAATTTTTCAAAAGATGGAAATAATATTCTTCAATTATAGGTTAAGTTTCTTATTCTTAGTAAAAACACTTTTAATTTCTTTCATAGATATATAATACATAAGATATTCATAAATATAATGGGATAATAATATAATCGAAAATTGTTTATCAATATAATACATTTATAATCGAAATTATATTTGAATATTCATTTTATGTAAGTATTTCATTTGTCCATATGTAATAAAATCTAGTTATTGCGCAAGAATGCAGATATGGCTGTCTTGATGCATGTGAAATTATGTTTCCTGGCAGTAAGTTAAATTATTTAGAATAAAATATTGTTAAAATGATTTTAATTTTCTATCTAGGTATTTCAATATTAAAACAAAAACAAAATGTTTGTTTTAGAAAGAACAGGACCGTTAAAGACTACTGCAAGTATAGATTTAACATTAGAGCTTGCAAATAATTAAGTACTCTATTGAAAACTTAAAACAAATATATAAGAAAATGTACGTTTATTAAAAGATTTATGATATATTATATACCATAACGATTATTCTACAAATTTATATAAAATAATAAATATTGTGATTGATATCACTAATTAGGATATAAATTTATTCGTTTATACTTTCCGATAAAATAAAATGTGTAATAACTTTCTTAGATATATCATTTTGGTATATTATAAAATATTTGATGGAATATTTTAATAAAATTTTTTATGAAAGCTTCCTTTTTATTTTAATTCTTTTCTCTAGTTACAGCCCATTATTCTTTCGAATTATGACCGTGTACTTTTTGCTTTAATAAATCACATGCTTAAACATTTCATTTATAAATAAATCGAACACAAATGCAGTATTAAAATAATAATAGACATTATTTATTATTTCAAAAGTTTTATTTGAATAACAAAGTCATTAAAGTTAATTATGGCGGTTTATTGATAAAAATATATATATATTTATCAAATAGCTGTAAGATTCAACTTCATTATTCCTACATAACCAATATATACTTAGTATTTAATATTAAACAATAATAGTGGTTTAATAATTCAAAATCGTTAAATAATACGATCAACATATTATAAATAAGTAAATATGCATTATTTGATATTAATTTTTTTCTTCTTCTTATATTGTACAGCATTTACTGGAGGTAATTAATTCTCCATAATTTTATAACGAACATTGTAACGAAACTTCAATTATTTTATATCTAGTATTTTTTAGGTTTAATTGACTTTGCATATTCGGAACACGATTGTTTAAACTGCTGTAATAGTAAGATTTATATTTTATTGCTTTAGGAATATTGAAAAAATTACTAACAAATCAGACTATCAAAAGAACGTTTAAAGATATATGGTGCGGTATATATACTTATAAGAGTTTCAATAATTTAAACAACAAATTTTCTTTAGAATTTTCCAAATATACAAATATAAATAGGTTCAAATTTCCATTTAGTTATACTATTTGCATAAAAAATACAGTATAATAATGATTTTAAAAAACGCCGATAAAGCATAAGAGAAGAAAAATAAATTTACAAACAATTTGAAATTAATTAGTGATCATTAACTACATGCAATATAGAAAATAATTGTATAAACATGTAAATAAATGAATTTGTGTACATTTAAGAAGTATATAAATATATATTTAATTTAATTAATTTACATATTCAGATAACGGGAACCGATATTTATTCACATGCAATAATATGATTAAAGCTACGGATTTCGACTACCGTTATATGTATGCACACGCGCGCGCGCGCGCATACACACACACATGTTCAAATAACAAAAAACTGGAATTTCAATATGATAGTTAATCGAAATAAAATGCTAATAATTTAAATACTTAAATATTATGGAAAATAAATTAATCGTCATGGCAATAAGTACTTCAAAAATTTTCAGAAAAATTCAAATATTAAATTTAATTTTATAACACTAATAATTTATGATGAATTCGAATTTTATGTGTGACGAGTTGAAATACCTCATCAAGAAACAACATTTTACTTTCACCGATAGTTTATCAAAGTTTTTCGGTTTTTCAAGAACCAAAATGATTGAAAGCAGAGCAATTAGTGATTGAAACGTAATTAAAATACAATATAAAACAATGCTAGATAGTGATAGAGGTAAAGACGTTATAAATAAGGATTTTGAAGGTTCCTTGAAAGGCAAAGGAATCATATATCTAATGAATATTCGTTATAAGCTGAAATAAAATGATTTTTCGGAGCACGAAATTTATATAACAGCTAACGCACACGATCCACAATTTAATAAAAATCTTATTTTTCTTTATTTTAATGGGTAAGAGAAATGAAAGAAGCAAGATAACATTGTAGAGAAAAATTTTTTAATTGGATGTGTAGATAATTGCAAAGCTTGCTATATTTGTGTATCACATTTATTATTAAGATATATTATTAATCCGTTGTGTATTTTAATTATTTAACAGAAAAAATTATATCGCAATAAGGACAATGTCAATTATCCTAATGAAGAAAAGCATGAAGCAAATAATATCTGATAGTAAAATAATATTTAATAATTGAATAATAGTTTGAAGTAATTTTTATAACATAAAATAAAAAGCCAATAAGAAATGTCAATATTTGTTGATATTTTTTTAAATTGATAAGATAAATTTCGAATCAAGCAATAACAAATTTTCAGTCTAAAATTAAGAATAATTTGCGCTCCATCTCGGCTCTCTTACGACCGATATTTAAAGGCAACTACACACGTGTTAAGATAAACACAATGGCATTCCAGTGTTTGATCAGAGCACTACAATCATGATAACCTCTTAGCGATAATATTCAATAGATTATAACCTGCTTCATTCATCGTAAATATATTTCAACACCACAAGATTATCAAGAAATATAAAGTTCGTCTGTAATTCACCATTTTGTAAATCAATTCAAATAAATAGAAATAATAAAGACATGTGTTAATTATTAGTCAGTGCATTCACCCATTACTTGCCCGGCAACCCCACATAACATCTAGTGGGTTTTATTGTTCTAAGTTAATTATTGCACGTTTGGCTGACTAGTCATATTGTGGGATTATTTTCCGAACAAATATTATATTGAGAATTATTTTATATAAATGTAGGACTTCAGGTAGAGAAGAGAATAACATGTGTACATTCGTGTACAATGAAGTATTTAAGTAAGTAAAATTATTGTATTAAATGTATATATACATAACATTTCATATATAAAGCATAATAATATGCTCCCTTTATATATTTTTGTTGGTATTTGATTTTAGTAATATTATGATAAAATTAAAAATATAACAGAAATATATTTTCCAGAATTAAAACAAGTTTCCATGGCATTAATAAATAAGTTTTTTTTTCTTTCTTAATGTCTATTTGTCTACACATATACTTCAATGAATCGTATGTTGCCATCAACATTTGGTATATATAATTTTAGATTATTTTCTATTATTATCAATTATTATTCATGCAGAAATGTCGATTTCAGAAATGATTGCATTCACCACGACCTGAAACGTGATTTTACTTGATAAAAGGAAAGAAACAGTGACAGCAATGAGGAATATTCACAGGTTCCAAAGATAGGATAGTCCAAATGCAAAGCACAAGTGTAAGATCATGATTAGTCCATGCAATGGATAATCACAAAAAATCTAAAAGTTTTCATGTTTCCAGATCGTGAGGTATAAGTAGAAATGTGCTACCTATTATATAAAAAATTTTTTAACGCCACTTTCAAATTTATGACATTATTCAGTGCTGTAATACCTTTCAATTACTATGCATATGAGACATAGCGTTTCTTATTATTATTAACAATATTTTATAGACAATTTCATTTCATTATACTAATGGTATGGAGTATTTAAAATTAAATTCTCCCTATTTATCAACATACTATTTTATTAAAGCTTTTCAATTAGAAAAAATGCACAGTTTTATTTATTATCAGTTATTAAATATTATTTATGTATATAGATTATATTTCAACTTGATATGAATTATATTTAATTAATATGTCGTGTATTAACATGTCAAAATGTTGAATATTAAGACTATTATTGGATCAGCTAAACACAACTTATTATTTCAATGTCAAATTTGAATAACAAAATCATTAAAGTAAGTGTCGATAATTAATACAAATATTATACATTAATAAATATATTACATTATAATGTTCAATATTTCTATAACGACAACAAATACTTTTGATTAAGCATTACATTACTATATTGATCATTGAAATTTATTATAATAATAATTTCGAAACATAAATAGCAAAACATGTATTATTCAATGTTGATTGTGTTATCTTTAATATCTTATGTAGCATTTACCACAGGTATCATTTGTTTTGTTTTTTTTTTATTATGAAAAATTAATTTATTATTTATTTCGCATTATTTAGGTTTGAAAGAACTTACATATACAAAAGATCAATGCCTAGACTGTTGTAATGGTAATATTTATATTTATAATTTTTTAAATATTTTAAAAAATAACTTATAAATTAGAGAGTAAAAAACATTTTTGCAAATTACTCGCGTTTTAATCAATCTTAATATGTGCCACTTAAGTGATATACAATCAGAAATAAAAAAATTATCTTTCATTTTAATAAAAAATTATATACATACATTGATGATCATGTAATATTAATTATCTCCTATTTTTAAGCTTATTTCTACAGAAAATCCAATATATTAAATGGCCACAATTTTAAAATACTTGTGCAAATACCTGAAAATTGCGAATTAGCTAAGGCATTATTAATAGTAAAAATATATCGAAATTAAACAATGCCTTTTGATAGATACATTTTTTAAATAACTTTTTATAACGAGAGCTTTTTATATTGAAATCAAGGTCTTGATCGAAAGTCGCAGCTGGCGTGTCAACTTTCGTGTATAAAAAAGTTTGCCAGTAAGTTGAATTAAAATACCGAATATACATTAATATATAGTATTTCATAGTATTTATAACTATTTAATTTCATTCAAACCATAGAATTAACTTATTTATTTATTGTTTTTATATTTTTAAAATCAAAATTGTTTAATACTTCAATAATTGATAAAAACAGGTTTATCTTTTAAATTATCCTTATTTTTATTACTATACTTATATATATAATGTTAAAATATTTTAATTTAAATTAATACTGTAATATAATAGTTTTTCTACTACTTGTTTTATTATTAAACTAGTAATTGAATAAATTCTTCAATATTAGAATTTCATAATTAATAAAAAACACTTAAAAAAAATTTATATATCAAAATACGATATATTGAACTAAAAAAGTTTAATTACTTTAACATTATAAATATTTATTCATATCGATTTATTGATGTGCTGCAGTAGTTTCCGTTGTATATAATTACTACTTTTAATCTATTACTTACTTGCTTGATCATATAATAAAGCATTTCAATAGTGCTTAAAGTACTATTTACAAGAAAATCAGATTATGAATTTTATCCTTTCCCTTTTATTTATCAATATAAAGGTTATATTACATTCATATAATTATTTTAAATTATTGAAAGTATTTCTAGTTTAAAATTATACTGTCAAATTTGCACATTTTCCACGAATGATAATTAATCATAGTATCTTTATATAGTTTATGTTTTCATGCTTAGTGTATCAATTCACACATCACGATTCATTTTCTCTTTTATAAAAATGAATTTATTCCAATATTTTTAATTATTTTGCGATTTTATTTTATTTAGTTCCTAACTTTTATAAAATAAAAGGATCATGCGTATCAGCTTGTAAGGGTAAGATATAATTTTTTAAATATTTTTTTTATTTTAAATTCTTAAATAATCTATTTCACTTATACTATTTAACTTCTATTTAATCTAATCTAATTTAATCTATTTAACTTTACTTAAATAATAATAAATTAACAACGTGAAATTGCGTAAATTAACGTAATTTATTATAAATAAATAAAAATATATACAGCTTTCTATGTGAATTTTTATAGTTTAATAAACAGTGTTCAAATATTTATAAAATATTAAAGATATTGTAAAAATATAAGACTAAATCAAATAAAAGATGTCGATTATTATTTATTTATTACTTATTATCTAGCTATATTAAATAAAAAAGTGTAATAAAAGTGTTAAAAATGATTAATCATTTGATCTGAGTATTCAATCTCCCACGTAATGAAGAAGCCTCCTTTTAAAACTGTATTAGAAATCGTAGTTTAATACGTGTGATATTTATTATACGCTGACTAATCATAAATATAAATTATATTATATTATATTATACATTATAAATTCTTATTATATAATTAAAGATTAATTTCAACATATTGAATAAACAATATATATTACTAACTTATCTTTTTAAACATTTTTATTAAAATTAATATAACATATCTTGATGAACAGAAAATTATATAGTTTGCAATATAAATATTATTTATAATGAGATAAGTATATAATTTTTAATTTTTTTAAAAAAGTTATTTATTATTTTATATTTTTTATATACAGTAATAATACACGCATGCAGAGAAGGATGTATTCGAGCATGTTATGATATGTTTAGTAATAGTATGTAAACTATTTTTATAAATACTATAAATATTTTGTAAAACCATCTATTTGAAATACGAAAATACTATTTGTTTTAGGAAGAACCACACATAAAGAACAAAATTTACTTTTGAGTACAATGCTTGAAATCAATTAAAACTAGATCCCTTAAAATTTTCGGCCAATTGTGTTTATAAACATCTAATTTTTTATTATGTTATATGATCTGAAATACATTTTATTCAATAAAAAACCGAATGAGTGTTAAATATTGAATTCATTATATCGAACTAAATATATTGTATAATAAAATAATTTTTAAAACGTAAATTAAGATTTTGTTTATTTTCGACTTCAAAAAACTAAATGCTCTTAATATGTTTATTACAATTATACTATTTTTGACATGAGAATGTATGTACATGCTACATAACATGAATTATCTAACTAATTTTTGCTTTATTATCCCATTCTATATACATTCTTGGTGTTGATACTCCATTTACTTAACTATCAGACCGTTTTTTAGGTTGTATTTTCAATAGTAATTTTATATGTATTTTATCCGGCTTACTAGAATTACTTTTTCCGTCTAAATTACTCATTGTTACAAGAATATATTGTTCCATTTCCACAATTCGTCCTATTACATTTTTATATTCATAATAAGCATTTATATATTATATAATTTGGTTCATTGTTTGAATGTGTAATATATTTTAACATAAATTATATTGGCATATAAAGTAGTTTAATTTTCTTTATTTTTACATAAATTAGTCAGTACTTTAATATCAGTTAACATTTTTCTCGGATTAAAATAATTATCCATAAATAAAAACCCAAAACAAAATTGGCTCAATGAAAAAATTAAAATAATGCAGAGATCCTAATGAAAAATTTATTTAAATTATGATGAATTACAATTTTTCTCTGCATAATTTACTATTGTTACAGATAATTAATTATTGTTACAGAATACATTTTAATGTATTTTATATTATTTTGAATATATCATATATACAATTCCAACATTTTTTTTACAATTATTACTAGTTTTCTATCATATATTAATGGAAAGTTGATGTAATGGGTAATATTTTCGGATATAGTATATATCATAAAACGAATTAAATAAAAATATTTTTTAAATATAGGAGGTTCATAGCATTGTATGACTTAAATAATTAAAAATAATTATCTATTAATTACTCTTCTTCGTAATATGTATAAAAAACCAAATATTTGTAAATCTTTGAATAGTATAAAATATATTACATTTTATTTTTTATATTTTTTATATATTATTATATATGATTATATATTTTATATATGAAATTATATATGATAATTAAAATTATAAAAAACTATATTTAAATAATACCTGTAACATAAGTAATGTTTAAACTATAGTATCTACAGGTAAAGAACATGAACTGAGAAAGTATTATAACGTTATCGAAAACTTATGATTACTCCATGTTTTGCACATATGTATATTAATGATTAGAAAAAGAAATAAACAAAATATTAATAGTTTAATATATATAAAAATTCTTGAAGCATCAATGGCAGTATAAAATATTTTCAGTCTTCGCACGTATGTTTGTTAATAAACAAAATATTTAAAATTATATTGTTATATATAAGCATCGTATATATAACAGTTGTTATAATAAATCTGAATAAATGACGAATAAATGTTAAACATATTTTATGTATGATTAAATTTAGTATAATTTATATGATGTATATTCTTAACAATATATAAATCTTTATTTAAATCATTTTTAATTATAAGAATTATATTCAGATAATATATTGTATGTTATAATCCCCTAAAAACAAATATTAAATCAATACAAAGTAATATAAGTTAATGTTCAAAAAATATAATTTAAAAAACAAAATCGTTAAATAAAAATATGCTGATAATTAAATATTTGATATCTATTATAAAATTCAATAAACAAAAGCATTATTATACTCATTTTAATTCTTTATGAAGACGATATACACCCACTATTTGCATTAAGTGAGAGTAAGGAGAATAATACTTCAAAAGTTTGAACAATAATTTAATAATAATATTATTAATACATAAATGACATGCATTATTCAATAATAATGTTTTTGTTTTTAATATCTTACGTAGTGTTCACTGACGGTACTATAATGTTATAATAAATTTGATTATGAAAGATTAATTATTTACTAATATCACTTTTTACAGGACAAATAAAATTTACATATACAAAAAATCAATGCCTAAATTGCTGTAACAGTAAGATTTATATTTATTACATTCATATTCAGACAATAATTAATGAACAAATAAATGAATAAAAATTTAATTTCAATTTAAACAAAATTAAATTATTTATATTAAAATTTTAGAAAAATCCAAAAAAAATAAAATATTGAAGCAATATTAAATTAAATGATAGTTTTTTAAAGAAATATGTAAGAAATATGTAAAAATTTGATAATCATGGTAATCATATAATTTAGTATCCTAATACCTATTATAAAAAAAGAATTATTATAGAAAAAGACAGATAGTTTCAAGAAAAAATTAATACGTGAATATAGTACATAATTTATTTTTTATTAAAAATAAAAATTTATATACTTTGCGGATTAAAGTTTTCATATAAACTTAGATTCTGTATGTAAATAAATAACTGAATTATCCTTTTTCTTACATATCAAAAATATTTGATTCATATTTATTCTCAATTCTATGGCATCTTAACATTAATGAAATAATGCCTATAAAAAGCCTCTTCAAATAATGAAAATTTTCTTCAAAATAATTAAATGAGTGCAATTGGAAAAAAATACATTGAAATATTCATTTATAATAATTCTTCTCTTAACTATTTAGATATGTCTTTATTTACGAGTATTTATATGTTTATATTAAGCGCTCTCTAAAGAGAAGAAACAGGCTTGCAAATTTTCATGTATTAAAAAATTTTCAAGTAAGTAAAATAATATATATTCACACATTGTTTTATAATTGATATGATAAATATAAATAATTTATTATATAATATTTAAGTATTATAATGATATTTATTCATAAAATATTTATTCCTATTTATTTAATGTTTTACAGAATAAGATTAAGTTGTTTCCCATCTTACATTATTTTACAGATTTATAGTTCAAGAAAATAAAATATAATAAAATATATTATTTTATTTATTTATTATATATTAAATTTATTATATATTAAAATAAGATATATTACATTTTACGACATTATATATATTTAAAATATATATATATATATTTCAATCATGTAAAACTACTTCTATTCCTTGTTTTTGACGATTTTTTATTTATAGTAACAACTATACGATGATTAGAATATTTAAATATTTTACAATTCTTTTATATATTTAATATTATATTTTTGTTAGTCTTAATCGCTTAATGATAAAATTATTTATATTTTCAATGATAACTATTTTCATTTCCTGATTATTCATACCTATGTAAACAAATGTTAAAATAATATATATTTCGTTATAGTTACTAGGGCCTTAATATTTTAATAAAATTATAATATAGTTCACAATGAATTAAAAAATTAGATCGCATTCACTATAATGAATATTAAAATATATTATTCTAAATTTGAATGCTAATCCAGGTTCGAAAAAATTCAAATTATTTAATTTATCTTCTCATATTCTAACGCTGCATGTAATTTCGGATAAATAACTAACCCCATGTGTTATTTTGATAACTTTAACTTATACATTATTATATATTTTATGGTTTTAAAATTGTTGATTAAATTTTTATTTTATTATTTTCATTCATAATTGCTTCATCTACTTTCTTCATTTCATAATTTACAGTCGCTAATTACTTTAATTCCAAAGGCAAATGCAGAATTGGCTGCAAAGGTAAGAATTTATATTACATATTTGAAATTACTACAAAAAATTAGACAAATTATATTTGTAAAATTCGAAATATTAAAACTATATTCCATGATTTATTTATACTATTACGATCAAAATTAATTCATAAACATTTTTGTATTTTTAAAATGTAATCAATAATGAGAGAGAATTATTGTTACAAGAGTAAAAGTATGAAAACGTGCTAATGGTATGACTCGAGATTTACAACTTAGGAATTAAACAATTTTCTATTAAGTACACTAAAAATTATTAATTTAATAATTATATCTAAAACATATAATAAGTAATACAGAATTTTAGTCAAATGATCAGCCTTATTATCAGCTTTATTCAAAAGATGAGCATACATGACAAGAAATTCCTTTCTTAACCATAGAAATTAATAATAAATCATAACATGAATAAAATATATGCAATTTATGATATTTATTTATCATAAAGGTATTCGATAATTCCTGTTATGTTCATAAAATGTTTAAATATAATAATATCCAAATTATTTATTAATTTGTTATAATGAGAAACAATAATTATTATTAAATTTATTTATTTTAAATATTAAAATTGTTAATAATATTGTAGAATTTTTAGAGAAATTTCTGACATATTAAAACATTAAATAAATTTTTGTTTATATCTATCATATAAAACCAAAAAATCACAATCACATAAAATCAGAAAACCTCAGGATACTCTGGAAATAATATTTATGAGTGCATTCTAATATAATTTGTAATAAAATATTATATTTATTACACAATATATATATATATATATATATATATATATATATATATATATTATAGATACATTTATTAACATAATTAATATGTTTATATGATTTCCTAATTTATTATTTAAAATTTTTGATATTTAGATATTATAGAAGAATGTAGAGAAGAGTGTTTTCAAGAATGTGAAAAGATGTTTACAATCAGTAAGAAATATTCTTCTAATAAACTTTTGAATTAATTAAATTTAATATAATATTATTTTATATTTTATATCAAATGCAAAAAAAAAAATGTTTTAGAAACGACTAAGGTCGTCATGGATGAAGCAACAGAGATAGATTTGACGTTAAGGCTTGGAAGAGGCTAAAAGTTCATTGTCATAAATGGAGAGGATATGTCATTAAATATATTATATAATATGTCGAACGTGATATATTATTTTATATACAATTATTATTAATATGTAAACATTAATAAACAATATTAAATACAACGAAATTTATTCACATATTGATGAGCTATATATAAACAAATATTTGAGGCACATATCTTACCCAAATTGAACTAAGTAGTGAAAAAGTTGTATATACGTTATTTTAAATTTAGAAGCTGTGACATTCATTTCTAAATGCATAATAAATACCACAACCGTACAATTCGGCGCCCTGGTATCGTAATTACAGCATAGGTCTATTCTATACATTCATAATATTAATGCATATACAAGGGAATTGTATGAATTTTCGATGGTTCTATAATTTCAGTTAGGTCCTGTTAAATAAATAAATTAAATCAATTGATAAAAAAATATAGTAAATTATATTCATAAGAAAAATAATGCATTATTTGTGTTTTAAAATAATTATTTAATACAATAATCTTACTTCTGAGTATTTCTTCTAAGAATATTTCTTAAAATTAAAAAAATTATAAATATCAATTTAAAAAAAAAGTTATTTAATACGAAGATGAGCTGTGGAATATTTATGAATATAGTATCTGGTCTAAAAATAGATATACATAATATGTAAAAAATTAAAAGTTTATTTATAAATACATATTGATCGAGGTATGAAATATATTTTTATTAAAAATCTACTTATTCTTTATATAAGAAATAGAAGTAAGTAAATAATAATAATATTACACATTGAAATAATCTGTTCATGATCAAAGTGAAATAGAAAATAAATGGCAGGTAAATAATTTTCGACCACTCTATATAAATAAAATTGATAGAAAATAAGTATATAATTATTGTCCTATGCATTATATATAAATAGTCCAACTACATTTAAGTACGGTAATGTATAATAATATAAAAATACAAAATATTAAGGTAACAGTGGAACCTAATTTATTTTTTAATTATTATTTTTTTAAAAAATTTCAATAACAAAATCGTTAAAGTAAAATATATTTGCTATTAAACAAAATATTATAAATTCTATTATATTAAAATGATATTTTTAGTTAAATATTATGCAAAAATAAGTTATTATTCATTAGGAATCTAAAATAAAAGTAAATCATTTGAAAAATCATCATAATAATTTTATAATTTTAATCTGGCGATATGCATAGTACAATCATAATTCTTTTAGTTGCAATATTTTATGTCACATTTACAATAGGTATTTTTTATTATTTATCTAATTTATTACAACAAATCGATTATTTATTAATTTTCAATTCTGAAGGTTTTATCGAATTAACATATAAAAAAGATGAATGCAATGAATGCTGTAATGGTAAGATATACACCCTTGCACAAACAAACAAACAAACAAACAAACACACGCACACACACACGCAGACACACAGTCACACGCATATATATATATATATATATATATATATATACGAAAAAATATGTATTTGTACGAGGCAAATTAATAGAATACAATTCTATTTAAAGTATCAGGTATTATAAAACTTTAAATTAAGCTTTAATTATTTTTTTTTAATTTATGTAGTTAAAAAAATATTCATTTTTATGAGAAACTGAGATATAAAATTAAAAAAATCTTATTATCTTTAGCAGATTTTAATGTAAATAAACATAAATAATTAAATTTATATATAATTAATATATATATATATATAAATTATGAAGATGTAAATTTCGAATCAAATTCATTTCTCTACTTTTTCAAAATTCCAGCTTTAATACCTCGATCAACTTTATTATTTTTATACTTTATCTATTTACTTTTAGTACTATAATTTTAGTATCTTAGTATTTATAAAATGTGTCTACAACGAGCCTCATAGAAATAATGCAACTTTTTCGAATAACGTTAAATGAACATTTTAGCGAAAATAAATATCAATTGAAACATTAAAAAATTATCTTTCTTTTATCTCAAAAAAAATATTGTATCTGTTTTTTTTTTATAATTAATCAAAATGAGTATTTTATATTTAACTCAAGGACTTCCTGCAGTTAAGAAGCAACAGTGTAAGCTTTCGTGTCTAAGAAAATTTGCTGGTAAGTAATGTTGTATATAAATAAATATGCATTTAAATTTTTTATATTTATAATAAGCGAATGAAAGAGTAATATTTACATTTTATATTCTATTTAATATAAAGAAATTGAGAAAGTATTATAAATCTTTATAATATTTTTAATAAATTATTAAATTTTTTTTAAATATTAAATTCCTTGTCACGGTTATAATACTTTAAAATAATGATGGTTTATAAACGTTAAAAACTTAGGAACATTAAAATCATAAAATAGGTATTTTTTGTCATAATTAATATATATTAATTTTATATTATTAATATTAAACAATTAATATATAATAATCAATACAAATGTATTATTATAAAGAATACTATGGTATAGAATCATTATAGGTCATTTCATAAGTCAATTCGTAATTCAATAAACTGTAATTCTTTCCGCTACATAACTATATATACATTTAGAAATAATAATTTAAAAAATACGAAAGAGATTTTATTTTTCTACTAAATCAACTTAATGAACCATTTAGAGTACAAGTTGATTTTTTCATTAGAAATTTTATACTCATGTGATATAAAAAATTAACTTTATATTTGAATAATTTTTTCATGGACATATTAAGAAACTTATATTCTATTTTTTTTCAAATTTTTATATTCAGCGATAATTGTAATTGTTATCAAAAAAAATATAATTTCTAATTTAAACAAATTGTCTATTTATATAAAACTATGAAATAACCCATGTTAGAAAATCTTGAATTTGTTCTCTTTATATTACGTTATTACATTCAATTACGGATTTTATATTTTTCAATTTTATTTTACACTGTATTGTATTTTCATTTTCTTTGTTAGACTATATATATATTTATTTATTCTTTTCATTTATAATTGTTTTAATAAGTTTTTGTATTTTATGTTGTCCAGTGCCCAATAGATTTTCGACAAAATGTTCGTGTGTTATATCTTGTAACGGTAAGATATGAATTTTTAAATATTGTGTCAACTATTTATATAATTTTAAAAAAGGAAATTCATCATATATATATATATATATTCTTTATTATAAGTTTTAATAATCCGAATTCATATATTTCATTTTTATACATTTATAAATATTCCTTACACTTTGCAATCTAATTCTAATTTTTCATTTCAATATATTATCAAATGAGCATTTATTATTAATTTCACCATTTAATTTAAATTATTATTCTATAATATTGAAATATAATTATTTTGCATATACAATAATAATTTATTATTTTTTGTATTAAAAAATTAGTTATTATACTTGAATGCAGAGAAGATTGTGTTTTAGCGTGTAGAAAAATGTTCATAAAGAGTAAGTTAAATTTATATAAAATACTATTGTAATTCAGATACTTCTAATTATTTTATCTTACTAAAAACTGTATTCGCTTTAGCAAAATCTACAAAAAAGCGAAATGCCAAGTTCCAATCAACTGCATTAGATTTAACATTAAGGCTTGGAAGAATTTAAAAATTCCGTTAATATAAATAAATAAGTGAATAGAAAATGTTTAAATTTCATCCTAGATCTAATAAATATTTTATATAAAAGAATTCGGAATTTAGAAAAATTCATAAATAATCTGAAATTTAATAATATTAATTTCAATCGTCATATTGACGATGCTATTAAAAGAGTAATCAATACATAATAAAATACTTAAAGCATATTAAATTGTGATACTGCTTGGATAATGGTGCTATCCTGTTATAATTATATGCCTATTGGCAAATACATAAAGGTATTTAAGAGCGGAAGTAGCTATGTATCTTCGAGCGATCTAAAATCTAATACAATACAATGTCTATGTTTTTTTCTAATTATGCACCTACTTCATAGGTTATAAGTGCATCCATAGTTATATGTGCATCCATAGTTTTAAGATCATTAAAAGCTCGCTCTTATATACTAAAAATTCACTCCTTCATTACCCATATTTTACATGAACTTCTTATATATTATATTATACTTTACTATCACCAATATCTTTTATTAAATCATATTTTGATAAATAAACTTTTAAATTAATTTTACAGAATATATTTATTCAATTTAGACTATTTTTAGATATGGGTGCTAAATATAATAATAATAGCGTTTATAAAGACATTTAATTGTTATAAAGACATTTATTTACTTAAAAAATATTTTTTTATTTATAATAAAGAGATGTATTTTATATAATATATTTCATAATCCTGTTATGCCGAAGAATATTGCTCATTATTTCAAATTATAAAATCATTTTATTAGAAAAGTAAAAAATGGTTGGTAAACAATTTAAAGTGAAGTTAACTTAATATAACATAATATACACGGTAGATATAATATAATTTAATTTTCAACTATAATGAAAAATTCTAAACATGAATAAAATCGAAAGAATTAATAAGATCTATAATTGTATGAACAATTTGAGTATTAAATAAACAGTCTAAAATAAATATGGAAAAACTTACATAGCGCAACTACCAAACTTGCAAGGATCATTGAATGTTGTTCGGAAAATAATTCCACAATCTGACTCGTCAGCCAAACGTGCAAAAATCAACTTAGAACAAAAAACCCATTACATGTTGTGTGGGGTTGCCGGGCAAGTATAGGGTTAATGCATCGATTTAATAATTAACACATATCTTTATTATTGCTGTTTGATTCATTTATGTTACTTTATTTCCAATGGGAATTATTAACCTTGGTTAACTTACAAACGATCTTTATATTTCTTAATAATCTTGTGATGTTGATACATCTGTTTGTTGGAGAACTAGAGGATAATCAATTTCTTTCTTATTCTCTGCATATCACTGGTGAGATTATGATTTACTGTAACAAGAAGTAGGTTATGATCTATTGAATATTATCACTGAGAGGGTATGGTTATTGTAGTGCTCTGATCGAACACTGGAA